TCCCCACGCTCAAGCAATTCGTATACCTCCTTTCTTGTACAAATACTCTGGCCCTCACTCTGCAAGACTGTCAAACTTTTGCGACTGCACAATAGGTAAGGAATTCGCTGAGGTGGCAGTTCTGCCCACCGAAATTTTCTTCCTTGTGAGGTGGTAATAGTATTGAATGACGCGGAAAACGATTGTTGAGCCAGAAGAGGAAGGCTATCGCGCTGCTGGCATAATGAGCAGATCTGGAGAACTCATCATTCATTGAACTACCAACAATTCACAATCGCGGGGTTTTTTAAAATGCTGGCATACTGGCATACTCTCAAAACGCTAGATCGATTTCTATACTCTCCATGTCGCACACGAACGCTGCCCAACGTTACATCGACAACTGTACTTTCGCAGTCGCTCAAAACGCTCCTACCAACAGCTGCACCCCTGCAATACATTGAGACCCTCCCCCTTTCCCCCATCATGTTCACTCCACCACGTTCCAATGAATGAAAAGATTCAAGATAGAGAGAACCCAAAGGACGACAACAACTATGAGCGACACGTCATGTGTCGTCAGAATGATCAAGTTTTAACTTTTCGCAAAGTGATGCAACAGCAATGCTAGTGCATAATCAGTTAAAGTGTGCTGTGTTGATGTGTAAAATTAGCCTCAATGGAAACTGGCATTGATTGAATTACACAACGAACCCTTCATAGCGACCAGCGCAGGTGTGGTTCATTGTCTGGAACTCTGGTGACTGTAGAAGTTACAATGCGCACATTTTATTCACGTGCTTATTCTATAAAGCTTTGCGTGGTGCGGCCAGCGAATGAATGCTGATTGCTAATGTGCAATCAGCCCGATTATAGGCGAGCGTATTCCTGGGAAGTAAAGCGCCGATTGCTGATGTTCAGAATGTTTCCGAATGTTTTCAAGCGGAAATTGAAGTAAACTATTAACTGAATAGACATCCACTTCGAATGACATTTGGTTCAGGTGATTCGGCTCGGGTGAAAGGCTCTAAAAAGGCGCACATTCGCTTCCGAGGAGGTATCACACAGTTCATTAAGTACTTCAAAGAAGTCCCTGGCTCTACCCGGTCGCAGGTGTTCTTCCTTGTACATGTAGACTGGCCCTCAGTCTCTGAGATCACCTCACTTTCGCGACTTCAATAGGTAACGAAGGCGCTGTGGCTCTCATAGTGGCAGTTCTGATGTCTCCTTAGCTGACCCGCCCCATAAATCAAAGGCTATTTGCTGTTACGAGTTCACTGTCTATTCCGCATTTTTCTTTTTTTTCACTATTAGATGGTATATTAGCATTGATGAAGCGAAGAAACAATAAGTGAGCCGGAGGCGTCAGAATATCGCTTTGCTGGTATCAAACGAGCAGATGCGGAGAACTCGTACAGTGACGCTGCGGGAGGGCGCTCTCCATGACTTTCTTTGAACATTTGAGATTCAGTTGAATACCACTATCCACAATACGCGGTCGAGAAGGTTCGTCTTTAACTCTACTATACATATGCTTTTTCATTAATGACCATCTGCATACAAACTTATATCTTGTCTCGATCAAACTTGTTATCGTGCAGGAGAGATTTGGCAGTCATGAGGGGGAAAGGAAAGCGGTGTAGTTCGTCCTGGAGCAAGCCCTTTGCTGACTGCCATCGACGTGGAGATCCGAGTACTTTTCAGAAGCAAAACAGCTCGGGGAAAAAACTGTGCCATTATGAAGCTCTACTAGGGTTCACAGAGGCGCTTTTCCTCTGGAAAGAGGGGAGGTGGGGAGGGAGGTCGTAGATTTCGCCGACATACGAACGATACGATAAGCCAAATGACACTAGTTCCATTTTGAGGTTCCACAAAGCATCGAGCGTGGGCTAGGAAATTTATGACTGAGCTTTGGCAGCGACCAGTACCTTTGAAATGAGCTATGCATTTAGTTTCCATTACGTAACCTAGAAAGGTCTGAGTGCAGGCTTGAACTGGAAGACTTTTTGGGTGGTCGAGTGCTTGTTTAATGAAACGAGGAGTTTGGTGTGTAAAGCTTTGTTAACTAGGGCAAAGTACGAGCCTTCCAGTAGTCCATTTGTGATACGCCGTGCTCTATCGCCAGGCTCATCCCACTCTGTCGATGCATGTACTTCTTATATTAATAGACACCGGATTATATTAATAGGAGCTGCAATGTTTCAATAGCAAGCCCCCCTAGGTTATCCAGATACTACAGCCTTACATAAACAAATTTATTGGCGCCACACGAGCTCTCCACTCTCAACACTATCCACATGATCATATGGCCTAAGATAACATTGTTGTGTGATGGTTAAGGCATGGAGGCTTTACTGGCTGTTTGCAGATTTCCTAGGCGATCAGAACCTAGGTTGGCTTAACAGGAGACGCCCTGACTGCAACCAAGCGTTTCTGTTGCGTGACCACTAATAAAGAAACTAGTACATATTGTATTGTGCATCATATCGCTCGCTGCTGAGGGAAACTGCGCCAATCACAGGTCTCGCCAAAATGGGGAGGAGGGAACGGAAGAAACCAAGCAAACTGCCGCCTCACCTGCAAACCGAACAGTGCCAAGAACAGCCATGATATAGGAATTCGATCGAAGAAAACTCATCGTACTGTCATAGAAAAGCGCTGGGGATGATGCTACCTACAGTCACTAACCATGTTCATCCTTTGTAACACTAAGGAATAGGACTGGAGATCCACGAAGGAGGTTAGATACCTATCGATTGACAGGATCGACTGAAGTATTGGAGTCGTTAGGTAAATAACCTTTTCTCGTGATTTCTCTGACTCTTGTCGCAAGGTATCGATGCTGAGTAAGCAAGCACCTGATCAGTGATTTCTCAAAGAAATTTCCATTGCCCTTTCAGGACTGGTGTTGATGCCCACGATCGAGGACTACGGACACACTCACATCATGCGATCGCACTTTCTCTTGTGCGCCACGAAAATCAATTTTGGTAGAAAAACGATCATAAAGGTTGTCCCTGGACCTGCTATCTCAATATAAACCTGTTCTCAGCCCATGAGCGAACTTTGCCCAGCATTGCGAGCAAATCACGTATCAACAGTGTAATAGAGTATTTCTATGCAGAAACGTAATGGTAAATGAAAACATACCTCAGTTGGAGAAACGGTTGAAATGATGTGAGCGATCACTTCATCAGGAAGGTACGGGAGATCGCCATCGCAACTTTGTCGCTGACGTCGTAAAATCGGACGGTGACGGGTCATTCACTACACTGATCAACTGAACAAACAAACACTATGGCTACATTACTGGTGCGGGAAATCATATCATATGCACCGCAAGCAAATAGGGGCAACATAGCGATAACAGTATCAAGGACAGGGTGCAGCATTGTCGGAAGATTCCCATCAGGGAGCCGTCAGGGGGTGTACATGTCGGGAATGGGGATCGCATCTGGCCTTGATAGGAATTTTTTCCAATCGCGAGTTTTTTCCCAGTTGTTGTGCGCTGTATATTTGCCTCTCCCCTCCCTGGATGAAACATTTTTTGAGAGGAAATAGAAAATTTCTTGGAAAACTGTAAGAAGTTATATTAAGTTGAGCAAACTTAGCAAGTTGGTACGTAACAAAGAGAAGGGAAGAGGTGAGCGGGTCTCTGTATTGGG